ATCCCCGTCTTCCTCGAGCAATCCGTCATCACCTCCTCCTCATCCTGCCACTCCCTCTCCGACCCCCTCCCTTCCCTCTCCTCCCTCTTCTCCTCCTGCCGGAATTTTCAAGGAGAAGTGTGTGAATTTAATAATTTTGAGAGGTTAGAGAGGTAGAATAAATTTTCCTGACGGAATTTCAAGAAAAATGGTCTTATTGGTAAGCATGACCTTAATAAAATAACTTGTTATCGCCGGAATTTTTAAATATATCAAACTGGCAAACATGGTCGAATAAAAATACCAATTTGATAATTTACCCATCTCCGAAGCCTTGGACAATTATCAGAAAACCACCGTAACTTTCATAATATCGGAAATTGCCCTTTAGCCTTAAAGAACTTATCACAATAAACCCTCTAAAACATGAACCGGGATCGTCCCTAGAAAAAAAACCCTGCATGATGTTCTGAAGATACTGGGGGCTATCCGGTGATCATCCAAAAGTTAAAGAGCAGTTTTTTGAAAAATTTAGACAAAGCTTAGGGGTTGTTTGTTTGCCTAAAAAAAGAGGGAAATCAAAGAAAAAGAAACCTATTTCTAAGAAAAAAAGTTTTTGGGATTGTTTGGTTGGCTAAAAAAAGAAGGAAATCAAAGAAATGGAAATGAGATGAGATGAGTTGTCACCTTATTATAGGATGATGTGAGTGATTTTTTAAGAAAACTTGTTTTGATGTTGTTTGGTTGGCGGAAAAAAAAAGGAAATGAATTATAAGAAACATATTTATTGTAATAGGTTGTTTTCTTTTGTTTGGTTATTTCTTAAAATTAAGAAAATAGATGAGATGAGTTGTCATTATATTATTGGATGATGTGACCAACACTTAGGGGCTGTTTGGTTGCCTTTTTTAGATGCTGAATCCCTGTCAAAACTGACAAAAACTATCAGTTTTGACAGGAAATCTTGCAAAAACGTCTTTTTAGAGGCATTTTTGGGTGATTTCCTGTCAAAACTGACAGTTTTTGTCAGTTTTGGCAGGGATTCAACCTCTAAAAAAGACAACCAAACAGCCCCTTAAGGAAATTGTTTTCCTAGCTTTTGGGAAGAAAACAAATAAATGAAATATTAATGAGATGGGATGAGTTGTCACAATCTTATTGGATGATGTGAGTGATTTTTAAATATGAGATGAGATGAGTTGAGTGATGTTGTGGATGAAAATAATATTTTATTAGATGTGGTGGATGAGTTGTTGGATAAATATAATATTTTATTAGATGTTGTGGGTGAGTTTTAGGGATGAAAATGTGTGAAATTGTATTTTTTGAGATTTTTTTGTTTTTATTTCTATTTTTTGGTTTTTTAGGAAATAACCAAACAGGCCCTTAAAAAAACATATTATCTCTAATACTTCGAATTTTACGAAGCAAAACGGTCTCAAGGGTTCTTTTGAAAATAACGTCTTTGTCTCTTGATGGGAGCCCAGCAAACCCCACTTTCTATGATAAAAATAATAAAGACTATGAATTTTCTTCTAATAATGACAAAAAAAAATCACTATTGCGTCTTCATTTTGAGTTCTACTACGCCTTCCTCCACGAACAAAACAAGCGAACCGCTGAATTTTCTGAAAAATCTAAATCGATTTGTAGTCATCGCAAAAATGTTAGCGGAAAATGCGATTGGTAACGGAGACGGAAATCCGTCACGGATAATTAATAGCCTGTTTGGATGGAGAACAGAGAAGGGGGAAGTGGAAGGAAAGTTTTTGTTCGTCCTTATTTGGGAATTCTATTTAGGAGGGTAGAGAAGGGGAATGAGGGGGAAATTGAACTAAAATTTTACTCCCAAATTGTGGGGTACAGAAGGAGAAGGGAAGGAAAGAAAAAAGTTTAGAAAAACTTACTTAATTATTATTGCATGGTAGCCCCTTAAGTAATATTTAATTGCCAACACACCTCCCAAATCTTAGTATTTGCTGAAATAGGTTAATATCTCTAACATTTTTAAAATACCGACTTTACCCTTATTAAATGGGGGAAAACTTACTTAATTATTGCATTAAGATAGATTCAACTAGAGTCCGCAAAGCTTAGGAAGTGCTCTCTTTTCTAATTTTTTTTTAAATAAATGAGCATTGAGAAGGCTAATACAAATCAATTTAGATTAGTAATAGTTTTTATTATTTGGGAGGTTTAAGAAAGGGTTAAACCCCCTTAACCCCATCATTAGCCCATTGCCAAACAGGGTCTAATAGCTCATGGCTGTGTTTGGATAAGAGGCTTTTTTGACTTTAGGTGTTTCCTCAATGTCTTATTTGCATTTAAATATCGAAAGTTTTATTTTGCTCAAAACACCCTAAATTTCGAAAAGCTAAAAAAAAAATGAAATCGTCCCGTAATCTTTACTTTTCTAATTTCAACAGCAACAATCTTTTTATACAAACAATGCATTTCACTTGTATGCCAAACTGAATGCAGAGGCTAAACATTATAAAACGCCCATAATTTTAGATGACTATTAAATAACCCCATAAACCCTCTCTAGTTTAGGAGGTATCCGAAAACCTCCTTTTAACTTTAAGATTTTTCCAAAACCCCCTCCTGAAAGCGTGAATCTCAATTTTCACTGGCGCAAAATATCCCTTTGCATAATTTTATCCAGCGACGTGAAAATTGTGGTTAACGCTTTTAAGGGGGCTTCATGATAAATTTTTAAAGTTGAAGGAAGTTTTCTAATACCCCGGCCATGTTTGTTTGCACAGAAGTAATTATGAAGTAGATGGAGTAAAAGAAGTAGAGACTACTTCTGCTATTTTTAAGCAAAAATGTATGTTTGGTTCTCTGAAAAACGTACTTCCAATACTTTCTTAAACGCTTATGTGGCATCTACGTGTCATTTTTACTTCCAAAATATTTTTTCAATCCTCAATACTCAAAAGTAGCTCGGAAGTAGTTGAAATGCATATTAATTAGGAAATAAATAATTTTTATTAATATTTCCTTTATTAGTTACTTCTAACAACTTTTCATTTATAAAATTACTTCCTAGTAATATTTCCAAATGTTATCCAAACAAAAAAAAGTAAATGAAGAGGAAGAAGTTCTACTTCCATTACTTCTAATTATATACGAAACAAACAAAAAAAATATTATTTCCAATACTTCTTACTTCATTATTTTAAAAGTTATTTCTATAACATACTTCTTACTTTCAATACTTCTTTTATCCAAACGGTCCCTAAATTTGAGAGGAGAGAGGTTATGATGTTTAGCTAGGGGTGTCCAAAAAGCCCGTCGGTCCGGCCCGGCCTTGGCCCGGAAACCTGGGCCAAGTCCGAGCTCCGGGCCGGGCCTGGACTGCCTCTTTGGTGCCCGGCCGAGTCCGAAATAGTGTTTTTTTATTTTTTTTATATGTATTATATATGTATAATATATGTATATATAAATATATATAATACGTATAATATATGTATATATAATATATTTTTATATATGTATATATAATATATTTCTATATATGTATAATATGTCATATGTGTGTATATATATACTCTCTCTTAGTATATAAGTATATATATGTATTGTTCGCGGGGAAAACTGTTTTCTTCTTCATTGAAATAATTATCATCTTGGGTTACAAAAGATCCGGTCTTTTTTAGATCCGGTTACAATTAAATCAAAGAAAAAAAAATTAAAAATTACAACTTTCCTTGTTTGTCGAACGAATCGCGAGATCCTGTTTTGCGGTCTCTCGCTTTTGTGGGTTCTTTGCCGACGCCGGGGTTAATCCGTGGACCACCGCGCGATCTAGATCCGGTCGGATCTACACGATTATACGGGTATTATTCCACGAAGGGAATAATAGCCGGGAGGGATTAGTCCACCAAGGGAATAATCGCTCGGATCTTGGGATCTAAGACCAAGCTTAGATCCGGAGTGTGATATCGTGTAGATCTCAGATCTGTTCTTTGCCTCCTCTCGAAATCCTGCCTTTTCTGACGTAGGTGCTCGCCGAGGATCAGATCTGTACGTGCAAGTCTTCAAGTCTTCAAAGCTCTGAGATCACTCTTCAATCCGGCAGAGTTTCGGCTCTTGAAATTCCGACCTCTGTTGACTTGATTCCGGATTTGGCAGTAAACTCAGTCGGTGTTTGAGTTCAAATCCATTTTGTTGGAAGACCCGTCGACTCCCCGAACCACTAACGTTGTTCACATGCAGTTCGTTAGCTTTGTAGCCTCTTTAGTTCGTTTCGTTGCTTGAACGTTCGTCGATTTGTCGAATCATCGCGCCGAGCTGTGTCAAGGGACCTATAAGCAGTTTTATACGCCTACAGATACCCCCTCCAAAGCTTTTCAGCCTCGTTCTTTTATAGAAGAGTCTGGAATGCTTTGGATATGATTGCCCCTACCCTTTGTCGGTGTAACGGGACCTGGAAATGACTTTTGTTCTGTATTCCTTCAATCCTTCGGGCCATTCAGTGCTTTGTAGAATGCCTGTAGGGGTTCCGGTGCTGCATTTATTGTCTGACCGTTGTTGGAATTTGAACTTTGAAGTCGATTCCTGATTTTTTCAATCTTTAACTCGTGTTGGTTGCTTCAACATGAAATTGACCATCGGTTGACGGCTTTGAATCTTTATTGTGACGCGTTGTCTGGCGTTTAACACAGTTTATACTCGTAAGTATTTTGGAGTCTACACAGTTTAAGCTCTTAA